TATGTTATTTGTGCCAGTGACCGGTTTATGGATGATTGCTCTTGGAGTAGTCGGTCTAGCTCTGAACCTACGTCTTTCTTCGAAAATCATAAAAAGAAGAAGGGTCCTTCCCTTTTCATGGCCTTCGGCCGCCTCTCTTTCTGATGCCGGGGTGGTGCCTTCGCGTAGCTCGGGGGCCCATAGAAGATAATATCGTACAGTGAAATAGCCGCTAGAGCCATTTATAGGACTTATATTCTATAGATAGATTGGGCCCCTTGAAGAAATAGAGGATAGGGCGGGCGAAGATAAGAAGGAGAGGACCTACTGCTCTACCCGTTTTGGGATCGGTAGTTCCGTGGCGGGTTAAGAGATTGAGTGGACGAGAAAGAGTAAAAGAATCCTCCCGGTTTGAGTCAGGTCAGATCAAAGGATGCCTTCCCATGTCAGTCAAATCCTAAGAGCGGATTTACCTGTGTCTAGTAAGGGGGATCTTGGTTGATCCTCCAGTTGGGAGGGAGGCAGCTACCAACTTCCAGCTAATCACCAACCTTTATTGATCGAAAGAGATAGAGGGCATGGAGCGAAGAGTCAAAAGAAGTGCCTCCGAGAGGAGAGCTGAGATCTTCAGTAAAGGGTCGGTCCCTTCATAGCCGCAGGGCTAGGCTGCTAGGTCAGTCCTAGTGTTGGGCCTTTTTTCATTATCTCTAGGTTGTGGGAGTTGGGGCAAATCCCCATGAGAAGTTCAATCTCATTCTAGAATAGCCCAACAAGCGTAGGTTCGAAAGCCGTTTTCTTCGCTGGCTTGAAAGCAAGAAGCAAGGGCGCTAACGCGCCATGCCACTAGTGCATCCGTTTTCTTTCAAGAAGCAAGGACCTAACGTGCCACTAGCACATCTGTTTTCTTGCTCAAATTCGTTGGTTTGCTTTTTTACCCAGCAAGAAAACGTATGTGCTACCGCGCAACGGCTTTCGTGCAGCAAGAAAACGGATGCGCTACCGTGCAATGGCTTTTGCATTAACACGCTCTCCCGTTGCTTGGTTCTTGCACTCGCATCGTCCCTTTTTCTTCACTTGCCTTGCGACGAGTCTTAGCATTAATATGAGTTCGTTGACAGAAAAGTCGTTCAAAAGAGAAAGTCTTTGCCTTGTGCTTAGCTTTGCTTTCGAGTGCTTTGCTTCAGTCTTTGCCCTAGGGTCAGCAAATCTTATCCCACGATATCCAAGGAAAATTACGAACAAAAACTCATTGGCGCCAAGCGTGAGGGAATGGTAGACGTTGATTCACGTGGAGATAAATAAAGGCGATTGAACGTGTGTTTTTCAAAAGAAAAGGAAAAACTCTTAGATCTATTTGCTTTGTTGGAGGGCTGAACCTGAGATATTCATCATGTGTTTCGGGAAAAAAATATAGTGGCTGACTCATTAGTTAATTTGGGAGCAGAAGGTTTCGAATTCGGTTTTTGATGCTCGAACGTAACCGAGCTACGCGGCGTAGGAGGACTAAGGGCTTCCCTTTAGCTCGTTTAACAGGTCTATCCTTTCCTTCCCTTTGGTCAGTCAATCCTTTCCTTCTCTTCAGTCGGTCAGTTCGTCTAGCCCTTCGGTCAGCCTTTTTTTGTTTGTTTTTTTGCATATAATATAGTAAAGCAGCACCCCTCTACCGATCGTTTGATGGGCGACAGACTTCCACTGCTGACTTGAGCGCTCAGGTACAATGAATAGATCGTTTGATGGGCGACAGACTTCCACTGCTGACTTGAGCGCTCAGGTACAATGAATAGCAACTTGGCTAGATCTGCAATATAAACAATTTATTAAGTAATAAACGTTAACTTTTGTCAAATAGGAGAAAAAACTAAAAAAGGAAAAAAAACAAGGGACGGAAACAGAAAAATTCCAAAAAAAAATGTAAGCCGCGTACATGGTCAAAGGGGCCATGACACATCTTACCCACAAATATTTCCTTGAAAAAATACAACTGCATTTATATACAAGATAATAACAACATACTCCCTTCCCATTTAAACCAGTCCCCCTTCTCTCTTAACGAAACGACACTCCCTTGAACTCAACGCCCATAATACAAACATCTCCTCCTCTCTCTCTCTCTCTATCGGCGTGTTTCTTCTTGGTGTGGATCTTGACAATGGTACTACCATGATTTAAGAAACTTTTCATCTTGGTTTCAGGTAATCAGACGGAAGCGCGTTTAATGGTTTTTTTTCTCTGTTTGATTTGGGCGCAGGGTTATATTGGAGGAGGATATGGTGACGAACCGGATGAGGCGATAGACCACAAAGGAGATCCGGCCGACAAGTCCAGAACAGGAGGATGGTTGGCCGCCGGCCTAATATTAGGTGATACCCACGCTCCCTATCCGTGTGTGAGAGAGATAGAGAGAGGGGGTCTGTTCAAACTCGTGCAATTGTACAAGAGCGTGTGAGATCTCACTAGGGGAGAGAGTACAAGAAAGCGTGAATAAGAGGGTGTTTAATTGTGAAAATATGAATTTATTTGATGATTGTGGTAATGTAGGGACGGAACTGTCGTAGAGAATATGCGTCATGGGAATATCGATGAATTTGGTGACATATTTGGTGGGGGATTTGCATATCTCCACTTCCAAGTCTGCAACCACTGTCACCAACTTTATGGGAACTCTCAATCTCCTCGCGCTCTTCAAAGGCTTCTTGGCCGATGCAAAACTCGGACGTTATCTGACGGTTGCCCTCTCCGCATCTATTGTCGCTCTGGTAACAATAAAATATTCATCATCATTATTATCATTTCAGCTTAATCTCAACAAATAAAAAAAGTGCGATTTTTACGGTGCCTAGGCTCTAAACAATCAAACTAAAGTCTATTTTTAAATATTGTTGACAAATATGGCTTCAATATTAAAAATCTTTGTGATAGCTTTAAAATATATTTTTATCTTTATTTATAAAGTTTAAAGCTACAAAAAAAGAGTAGATCGACAGATCTATAAAAAAATGAAAATCTTGAAAATTGACGGCCGAAAAATGTGTTACAAAATACACTATTTTCAAAACTTGAAATCCATGCATCTTAATCTTGAGACGATTAATTTGTAAATATTTAGGTATCAAAACAACCTCTTATCTCTAAATTGATTGTTTAGAGCCTCGGCTCTATATAAATTTTTCCCAATAAAAAATGGTGAGAGAAAACGAGAGCGCTATAGTTGGAGAGAGAAGGTACGGCGATAATTGAAAAGAGAAATACCTTAGGAAGGACTGACTCTTACTCGATTGTCTCATTATATGAGAATGTGTGAACGTGCTTGAGACTAGCACTTGGTTTGGAGTGGGCAACAGTAAACTATCGTTCCCTTGTTTTTATGTTTATTGGAGAGTGGGGCATTTGTCATCAAAATTTAGATTTTATGCTCCTAAACTTAATACTTTCACTCCCTCCTGGGTAAAACTCAAGTCATGGGTACTTTTTAGGCTCCTAAATTGGGGTTGTGCTCTTTAACCTTTTAAAAGGGAAAGTATGCTTTAAACTCGGATGTATGCACATGCCTTATAATTTTAAATTATATGATCTAAGCATTAAGGAAATCAATTGTTTTTCTAAAATAATTATATAATGGATTTTTAGGTGAATCCCCAAGATTTTAGGTTGTAAAATTCAGGTAGTTATTTACCCCAAGGGAATAAGTGAACAATATGCCCTTTCCCTATTTTTTTTTACAAATAGGCTTTATACTTATCCATGTGGATTTTCCTTTAAAAACAGTGGATCTCTCTCTTCTGTGTTATTCTTAGGAATTTGCCACATGACCGTGAGGCTTCTGCCTAAAAATTATATGAGAACTATCTTCTCCGCCATGCTTTTAGTAATCCACCCCTTTCGAATTTTTTTTTTTTGTTTTTTTTGTGGTCGCACAAGTTATGATTATCAAAGGTAAATTTTGATTAGGTGATCTACTACGGATGGCTTGATTGACAACAATTTTTTTACGTTTTTATGCAAAGGAGTATTTATCAAAACGAACAATAAATTTAAAAATGGGTTTATATTAGGGTAGTCATACATATGAGTAATTACTTAATATACTCAATTTAGTTGGATATTTAATATTGATATCCTATAATGTAGTAAATTTTTATCTAGGGATATTTTAGGTAATTATTCAATAGCAAAGTAAAAATTAATGATAGAAAGAAGATCACTTATTAATTATAGTGAAAATTAACATCATCCACATAAAGTATGACATCATCCATGAACACTAATATCTTATAGAAGTATCTATTCTACATCTTATAATGATGAAATGAGTACATTTAATAAATACTTACATGTATGTGTAGCCTAACATAATTTTTTTAAAAAATAGAAAAAGTAAAAAGCAGTTAATGCATTGAACACGTGTAAAACGTGATTTAGAAGAGGATATCTCCCACGTCACTTGCATTAAAAATTCTCCCCACATGCAAAAGTGAATGAAATCTATTCAATAGTGAAAAATCAGGTGGTGTGGAATGTGCAAAATAGATTAGTTGATAGGCTCTTATCTCAATATACTACTCTTTTGGGGGAGCTCGAGATGGTCTATCTTGCTAGGGAGATGGATGTTGAGATCATTTGGGATGTAGAAATGGATGGACTGTTTACAATGAAGTCTATTTATGCATTATTGTTCCATGATAGATGGAGATGATCCCGTTACCTTAGTAGCACAAGTGTGAAAGATGCCTATACCTCACAAGATGCAGGTTTTCATTTGGTTGGCTGCACAGGAGAAGGTTCTTACAGTCGACAATCTAATAAAGAGAGGTATGATCCTTCCAAACGTATGTCTCTTATATAAAATGGATGCGAAATCTTGTGCGCACCTTCTTGTCCATTGTTTTTTTACAACCAAAATTGGGAATGGTTTTATAAGCCTTTTTGGAGTTAGTACTGCCTTAGCCCAAGGTGCATTGGGCATCGTCTCTATTCTTAACTTTCCTTTCTTTTATAATATGGGTGATGTTATTTGGAAGGAGGTTAGAGGGGCTGTGTTATGGGAAGTATGGCTGGAAAGGAACAGGAGGATATTTAATAGTAATGTTGTGCCTTTTGAGAGGGTTCTTAATAAAGCATTTTATACCATTTGGAGTCGGCTTAGCATACAAAAGAGTATCATGAAGTTTCGCAGGTGGATGTACTTTTGAATCTTCCCAATCTTGCCTAGTCAGAATGAATATTAGTAGGTCGGTTGGTAGATGGGTGCCACCGTCAAAGGGTTCTTATAAGTTGAACTTCGATGGTAGCACTTATGAAAGCCCTAGAGATGCAGGTATTCGGGGGTAGTGTGAGATTTTATGGGGAGAGTCATTTTCGGTTTCTCAGATCCTGTGAGTAGAGCCACGGCTAATTATGTTGAGTTAGCAACTTTGCTTCAAGGTCTGAAACTCTTCAAAGCAAAAACCGCAGGCAGCTTGTGTGTGATTGAGGGGGATTCTATGAAGGGAAAAGTTTATATAGAGCCAAGGCTCTCAACAATCAAATTCGATACTACCTCAAAAATTTTATTAGAAGATATTATTTTGATGCCTAAATATCCTCAAATTCATCATCTCGATATCAAGATGCATGGACATGATAAAAAAATGGATTTCAAGTGAAAATAGTGTATTTTGTAATGCACTTTTGGAACGTCAAATTTCAAGATTTTCAAGTTTTCATAGATCTCTCGATCTACATTATTTTTAAAGCTTTAAACTTTATTTATAAATAAAAATATATTTTAAGGCTATCAAAAAGATTTTGAATATTGAAACTATATTTCTGGATACTATTTGAAGGTAGGCTCTAATTTGATTGTTTAGAGCCTAGGCTCTATATAAACTGCACCCTTCTATGAATGCCATTAAGTGGTGCTCAAAGCAGCAACGAATTCCATGGACACTTGACCAATGTGGTGTGAAATACTTGATTTGGTAGAGAAATTTACGGTGTGTCATATCAACATGTTTATAGGGAAGCCGACTCACGGTTTATAGGGATGCCAACTCACGGGCTGATGCCTTAGCCAAAAGGGGGGTGTCTTTATCTTCGCTTTTAATTACAGATGATGTAAATTTGTTGTAATATTTCCTTTTTAAGCAATAAATATTTGCGAAAATTTTTGGGGGTGTCTCTATACAAACAACGCTCTAACGCGGTTTGTATAGAGCCTGGGCTTTAAACAATCAAATTAGATCCTACCTTCAAATAGTATCAAGAAATGTGGTTTCAATACTGAAAATCTTTGTGATAGCCTTAAAACATATTTTCATATTTATTTATAAAGTTTAGAGCTTCAAAAATTGTGTGGATCGACAGATCTATGAAAACTTGAAAATTGATGGTCCAAAAATACATTACAAAACATACTATCTCTAAAACTTAAAATCCATTTTTCTCTCATGTCCATGCATCTTGATGTCAAGATGACCAATTTGATGATATTTGGGTATCAAAATAACCTCTTCTAGTGAAAATTTTGAAGTAGGCTCTAATTTGATTGTTAAGAGCCTCGACTCTATGTAAACTTTTCCCAAAATTTTAACACTCAATCAAAAAAAAAAAAAATCCTCACCACATAAAAAACAATCAAATAACCTGTTTTTTTCCTTGAAGATAAACCAAGCAAACAATTACTAGAGTATTATTTCATTTTAAAAATGCTAAAGTTCAGGCATTATAGTTGCATAAATGAAATTTATTTAAGAAAAATGGTTTGATAAGGCTGCATCCCTATCAAAATAAGTAAAGCCTCACCTCATAACTCATCAAAATTTTCAATTCAAGTGTTGAAAAACCTATAAATCAATCATATAAGCGTGAAAATTACGGTTGTACAAAAATAATTAGGATTTCAAATTCTAAAAATAATGCGACAAATCTTGTGGATCATTTATTTCGCCTTAAAAATAAATGTCCACATATCTGCAAGATCTGTTATATATTTTTAGTTTCAAAATTCTCAGTGTTGGAAATTAAGTTTAGAGCCATTACGAAGATTTCGGATGTCAAAAGTAATGTTCGGACGAGGATATGAGGTAAGGCTCGAGAAAAAAATGACTGATTACCGCACTTTGCTCTACAATTCTAAGTGTTGAATTCTTAATGGTACGCAATTGAAAATGAAAGAAGACATTTTTATTTTTAAATGCACTATACAAATTTATTTACTAATTTCATAAATTTTCATTTCATACTACTGTTAATAAATAACAATATCCTTCCCTTTTATTGAATAGGTGATGGTCACAGAAATGGTCTTAGGACATAGCATAAGAAAGATCAAAGTGTCATAAATTAAAAAGACATGAGAAACAACTTTTGAAACATATAAATAGTTAAATTTTCTATATAAAATACAATGCTAGTTTTCTAAATATTATATTTTAAATTTTAAATAAATGACAATCAAAAGAAATGAAATATATCATAGACATTTCTTTTTTAAAAGAGTAACAATTAAGAAGTTCAAAATTTTGCAAAGAATACTATAATAAGAAATAAGGTAAATATGCTATGTTCATAAAAATATTAAAAAAGTTGTACATTATAAGATATTAACAAAATTATTATTTCAAAACCAAGAGATAGGAGCGACACAATGCCAATGAAAAATAGAAGAGACAGGCTGAGGAGATAGGAACATAAAAAAAATTAAACAATTCTTTTTTAATTAGAAATTTTAAAAAATATCCCTCAAGAATATTGAAAAACTTAAGCAAGCATACTAATCACATCACATGTTTTTATAGAATTTACAACTTCATAATTACAAAATCTTAAAATATAGTCATAAAAAATATTAAAATATAAAATTAGCAAATATATCTATACTTTTCAAAAATTCAAAAAATAAAACCAATACGTTATTTAAATAAAAAATAAAGCAAGGGTCAATAAAACATGACAATTGTACTTGAAAACATAGAATTTATAAAAAATTACAAAATCCAATGTTTAGTACAATTCCTATACATAATATTGATAGAAATATTTTAAATAAGAAAATATGATAATATTTAAAACATAAAATCGTAACTAAAAGCATATGAAATTTTCAAACATTACAAAATAAAAAACAATTATAGTTTTATAAATAGTATATTTTGAATTTTAAAAATAACAATCAAAAGAAATGAAATATATCATAGATGATATTTAAAACTAAATATTAATAATGAAGAAATTAAAAATTTTGTATAGAATACTAAAAGAAAGAATAGCATAAATATACTATTTTTATAAAAAATATTAAAGAGGAACACCTGATAATATATAAACAAAAGTATTATCTCAAAACCAAGAGATTAGGAGCGACATAGATAGAAAACAGCAAGAGAAAGCAAGAGGAACATAGGAATATTAGAACATAAATAAATTTCAATAATTGAAATTTTAATATTTAAAAAATATTAGTTAAGAATATCAAAGAGCAAAGATACTAATCACATGGTTTTATAGAAATTATAAATTTATAATTACAAAACCTTAAAATGCAGTTTAGATTTTCTTATATTACCGTCAATTTTACTCAATCATATTTTCTAATTATACAAAACAATGTGATTATAATTGACGTATTACTCAATTAGGAAGAGATAGTATCAATGTGAAAATCTTATATTATTTTCAATTTTACAAAAAAAATTTATATTACTAAATCTTGATTTTATAAAGAGATAATATCTTATTTTTTATTTAGGGTCAATTATCCAGATTTTCAAGTTTTAATAGATCTGTTGGATCTACACTATTTTTTAAGCTTTAAATTTTATAATTAAAAATACAAATATATTCTAAAGCTATCAAAAATATTTCGAACATTGAAGGTGCATTTTACTTTGAATGTTTAGAATCTCGACTCTATACAAACGGCATCCTAATATTTATGATCCATAAATATCTAAAATCTTCTAACAGCATGAGAGCATGGGAGAATATATCATAAAGAAAGACAGATGGAAAAGGGGGAGAGAGGAGGAAAAGCTGGAAACAATGATATGTTCAAGAGAGAGAAGAGAGGAGCCAGGAGAGAGAGCATGAAAAGATCTTAACTAGTCTCACTTTAAATACAATAGATAGATATTTTATGAAAAAAATATAAAAAGATTATTGACAAGGTCATAGTCATTTTGGTCGATCACATCTTAATCATTGAAAACATTTAAAATTTGAAAAAGGCTGGTGCGTCGCATCTTAAATCCTGTGGGTGTAAATGTATCATTGACAAGATTTAAAATTTGAAAAAGGAGAAAAGAAATTTTGAACTTCGTGACCCATTTAAGTCATTCGATTTGACATCTAATAGCATCCATATAAAAATGGAGCATGGTCTTGTGGTATACAATCCCATAGTTTGTTTTTGAATGGGATTTGTTTTCCTGGAAATTTGTAGGGGGTCACCGTCTTAACCGTGGCCACAACGCTGCGTGGCCTAAGACCACCACCATGCGATCACCGTGGTACTGGTCAGGGCTGCAACTCGGCTAGCGGCTCGCAGCTCATCCTGTTGTATCTTGCTCTCTACACCATTGCTATTGGAGGTGGAGGCATTAAATCGACGGTCTCCGGGTTCGGCTCGGACCAATTTGATGTTCGTGACTCGAAAGAAGAGAAAGCCATGATTTTCTTCTTCAATCGCTTCTAAGCCTTGGGTCTCTGTTTACTGTTACTGTGCTGGTGTATGTGCAAGACAATGTGGGCAGAGCATGGGGGTACGGAATCTCTGGAATGACAATGGTTCTTGCTGTGATCGTTTTCCTTGTCGGCTCGAGATGGTACCGCTTCAGGAGGCCGAGGGGTAGCCCCCTCACTGTTATAGCATCTGTTGTGGCCAAGGCGTGGAAAAACAGGAAAATGTTTCTTCCCCTCAATCCTGCCCTCTTGAATGGATTCCTTGATGCCAAGGTGCCCGCACAGATCGGTTCCGGTGAGATCTTGCACTTAATTATGCATTTCAGAATGTTGAGGTTCATTTTACTAATGGATCAATGTTGAACAGATGGCTCGACAAGGCTGCGATCGTTGCCTCGGAGAATGGCACAAAATCGATGGTGACGGTGACAGACGTGGAGAAGGTGAAGATGGTGGCGAAGCTAATCCCAATTTGGTCAACCTGCATCCTTTTCTGGACAGTGTACTCGCAGATGACCACCTTCTCAGTTGAACAGGCCACCAGGCTCAACCGCCACTTGGGTGGCCATGGCTTCGAGATCCCTGCAGGCTCACTCTCCGTTTTCCTCTTCCTCTCCATCCTCCTCTTCACTTCCCTAAACGAGCGAGTCTTTGTCCCCCTTGCTCGCCGCCTCACCAGGCGCACGCACGGCATCACTAGTCTGCAGCGAATCGGCACGGGGCTCACTCTCTCCATCGCTGCAATGGTCACCGCAAGCCTATTCGAGCACAGACGACGCCGGTCCATCACCAGTCCCCCTCTCAGAGTATTATGGCTTGTGCAGCAATACTTCTTGGTGGGCGCTGGCGAGGCGTTCGCATACGTGGGGCAACTGGAGTTCTTCATCAGGGAAGCGCCCGAGAGGATGAAATCTATGAGCACAGGATTGTTCCTGAGCAGCATCTCCATGGGTTTTTTTGTGAGCAGCTTGTTAGTGGACTTGGTCGACTGGGCCACTGGTGGTGCATGGATCAAGAACAACTTGGACAAAGGCAAGCTCGACTATTTTTACTGGATGCTTGCGGTGCTCAGTACCCTCAACTTGCTGGTTTTTATGACCTTTGCGAGGGGCCACGACTACAAGGAGCAACCTCGGTGGGTCGACTCACATACCAAGTGTATGATGAAAGGGGCGGAGGACGTCGGAGTCGGAGAGTTGGGGATGGGGGACCTCAATAACAACAACCATGTCTGCGTGAAGGTGTGACATGTGAGCGACACCATATCTCTCTTAATCTTTGGTTTGGGTAAGTGAGTGGAGAAGATAGGCCCTACCTGTTATCTCAGTGTCAGCGACATTTAAAAGCACAATAAAGGTGTTTAATGTCTAGGACTCCCATGTATCTATGTATTTATCAATGTTTAACATTGTATTTGTAAAACTTATCTATCAATAATAACGTTGCAAAGGTTCAATACAAATATTTTAGATGAAAATTGTTTCAAACGGGTGGACCGCATTTCTAAATATGCGGTCTAGAAAGTGCAAAGCACCCATCTTAAAACAATGGAAATTATTAAAATTATTATTTCCAATATTTAAAATTTATTTATTTTTTCGTATTCATGATCTCCATGCTGGAGATTATATGTTCTTAAAAATTTAAATCTTAAAATCCAACTAAAAAACAAAATTTAAGTCTTAAAATCCATCTAAAAAACATTTATTAAGAGGCCCACATTTTTACATATGCAGGCTTGACCGCATAAAAACCAGGTACTATTTTAGATGCTTCTATTTTCGTACATATTCTTGCTCGCATTTTTTCAATAAGTTCTACCCACATTTACTTCTGAATGCTACGGAAGAAAGGTAACTATACCCTAAGCGCTGAAATTGAAATTAATACATGGAAATGCGTTTGGTAAGTTGACCGACTCACTTGTTGAAGTGCGGCCTCCTTTCAAATATCATCTTAAAGATGGACTTCCAATCTAAAGTTTTTGGAGTTTTGTTAATCTCAACTATGATGATGATAATCAATCTGACTTTTTTTTTTTTTGTGAAAATAAAGAGATTTTTTGGATTTAGCTTTTCCCACCATCTATTTTAACCTTGGAAAATGGTTTGATGGGCCCTAACAAACTAAGTAAAGTCTCATCTAATAACTCATCGAAAATTGTAATTCAAGTGTTGAAAATCTTTTAAATCGATCATCTCAACTAGAACATTATGGTGGTAAAAAAATATTAGGATTTCAAATTCTAAAAATAGCGTATATTGCAACAAACCATCTATTTCACTTTAAATATAAGTATTCACATATCCACAAGAACCATACCATTTTTCTAGCTTCAAAATTTATTGTAATGTTGAAAATTAATTTTAGAGGATCATACAAATTTTTTATAAGGAAGCTTTTCAAATGGCGCCATGAGATGAGCCTTTATTTTGTTTTCATAAGACGTGGTTTGTTTTAATAAGACGTGGGCCTTATAAAAACGTCATCCTAGTAGAAAAACCTTTTTCTTTTTTGACTCACCAAAACTAAGTTAACAACTCCTTTTGAGATTTTATAGTAGATTCTATATAGCTATGCTTAAAGTAGCCTTTCGTACAAAAAAAACGCCAGGGACGGAGGAATCGTAATGCCACAGAGTGGACGAGAGAAAGAGTGGTTGACAACACCTATGAAGGCAAAAAGTAGCCACCAAGAAAGACAGTATTCACTTTGGTTTTTATATAAATTTCTTTTCTCTTTTAATCTTAAAAGGGTGTGACAGAAGGACATCCCAAATGTCATCCATTCTAATACTACTCTTATCTAAGCATGCTCAACTTTAAAGTTAAGGTGGAATACCGTTTATTATATGACCGCACCCTTAAATCCAAATATCTTAGTTAAAAATATGGGTCAAAATATGTAATTATGGCAAAAATGTCAAGGAAAACAATGTATTATTCAAATTTTGCATAAGGATTAGAGTTAAAAAGTAGGGGCATGCATGTGTTGATATTTAATTTGAATTCTTGAATCCCTAATGGTAAGAGAATGTTTTCCTTTATTTAGGTTTCCTATTTATTTGGGTAGAGCCTATTATTTAGGATCTAAGTTTATAGGTAAGTATTGTTTAGATTTGGATGGGCCTTGGGTTTACAAATAGATAGAGATAAAGTTAAGTTTCTTAACTTTATGGGAAAAGAAGTGGCCATTACGTACCACCTCTTTGGGGTTTCCTTTATCTATATTTATTAGGTTATTTGTAAAGAGAAAATATTCAGAAAAATAGAGAGAAACGTTTGGGGGTTTTTCAGAAAGAGAGAAAATTATAGAGAAGAAGGTTTGGTGAGAAATTGAGTCTCTGGTTCTCTCAAGTAAGTTGTCTTTTAATTTTCTTTATTTGATTTAGTGAAAAACATCGATCGTCTTCGCTCGTGGATGTGTAGTCACAATTGTGACGAACCACGTAAATCCTGATGTTATTTTTATGTTATTTCTTTCTTGCTTTATTTTTTTTGTTTATTGCTTGTTTTTATCGATTCTTTTTTCTCGTACTTTATTTGCCAAAAATCAACTTGTCAGATTTAGAGCTTCCGCACACAACTGTTTGAAGACATTTTTTAGCACTTTGGGTCCCCGATACGGAATACAAGAGAAGTCAGTCAATAAAACCCTGACATATAATGGAATTCCTACAAACTCAAAATTGCCCTAAAACGGGTTAAAATCTTCCTAAGCATTGGAAAAGGCCACCTGCCAAGTTTTGTTGCAATCCGACATGTCTAAGGCAGTGCAGCCAAAGAAACAATTTCGAAAAAATCAGCCTCTAGCATTCTGAAACAGACCCCGTAACTAGAACTCTATTTTTGGTGTGTCAAACAGCTGTGGGACCACCACCATTGAATTCGGCACGATAAAAAACCCCAACTGGTAAAGTTTCAATTTAGACAGATATTTCAAGATAAAGTTATGGGTGAAATATTAAATAGGGGTAAGCCACACGCTATTCCCGTGCGGCCTCCCTGCACCAATTTCCATTAAAGGAAGCTGGTTTGCACAGTCATGAGAAGCAACTTTGAAGGCTCATATTTCACTCATTACGATTCAGGTCGTGCTCAAATTTTGTGAGCATGTTCGTCTCGTCAAGACGAGCGTTTAGATATGTGGCACGCCTCGTGACGATGCCTGAGTAGGGAGAAATACTAGAGAAAATTTGGCGATTCGTGAAGACAGTTGAAGGAAAATCAGCAGTAGCACGACCCACTCGAGCGGCCATATCACGGTGCTCGGTACCCGATCGATGCGAAACTAATTGCATAATGTACGTAAGGTCTGAGGCTATGTCTGGTTTGAACTCCGCATACGATGAACGGTTGGATTTGGCACATGAAGGCATCAAAGTCGCTGTAGATTCTGGCCCCCAGATTTCAAGATCCGGCCACAAAATCGGACTGCGTTTGTCGCATCGCGATTGTGATAGCATGTTCAATGCAGTTCAGTGATGAAACCAAAGAAAAACATCAAGAAACAAACACTCTCGATAAGAAGTTTTCAAGATCCATACCAATTTCGAGTCGCATGATCGTGGCCTAAAAAGGCGATCCGTGGTTCTAAGTTGGTATCAAATGCAATTATCTTTCGGCCAAAAGAATGTCGGAGCAACCCCGAATCATCCATGGAAGATCACACACGTTCTAGGGCAGCAGTAAGGATTGTTTTGGAATTTCATGTATTGTTGGGAAGGGGCAAAACTGTTATTTTACACCCATTTTTATATTTTATTTTAATTCAATTAAATTGTAATTATCATCAATTAGACTAGATTTTGGGCATCCACCCATATTTGGGCCAAATTCTATAAATACATGCTAAACTTAATTGTAAAAGGATCCATTTTAGTTTTCAATCTCATGAATAAAATTTGAGAGTTTCACATCGAAATCGTGGGTACGTTTAGGAGAGAGAGAGAGGAGAGAGAAAAAAAGTCTGGTACCCTTTGGTGAAGGTAACTTTCTCTCTCCTCCTCTCATCTTTCTTTCTCTCATCCTCTTTTCTCTCTTTTTCTCTCTCCTCTCCTCATCTCGCTCTTCTCCTCATCTCTCTCTTTCTCTCTCCTCTCCTCATCTCACTCTTCTCCTCATCTCTCTCTTTCTCTCTCCTCCTATTTTCTCTCTCTTCTCTCCTTTTCTCGTTTATCTCTTTCTCTCTCCTCTCCTCATCTATCACTTTCTCTCTCCTCCTCTTCTCTATCTTTCTCCTCCTCCATTTTCTCTCTCCTCCTCTTTTCTCATTCTTTCTCTCTTCCTCTCGCCTCTTCTTTTCTCTTTATTTCTCTCCTCTCCTCATCTCTCTCTTTCTCTCTCCTCCTCTCCTCATATCTCTCTCCTCTCTTCATCTATCTCTTGCTTTCTCCTCCTTTTCTCTCTCCTTTTTTCTCTCTTACTCTCTCCTCCTCTTGTCTCTTTCTTTCTCTCTTCTCTCTCTTTCTCTCTCTTCTTCTCTCCTCTTTATTTCTCTCTCCTCTTTTTCTTCTCTCTTTCTTTCTTTCTCTCTGATCTTTCCTTCCTTTTTTCTCTCTAATCATGCATGACGGTATTCATCACCGAGCATGACCTCCTCGTTCTGCTCTTAATCTCCTGGAACATACACAGTGAGCCGGGCCTTAACCCGAGTGGCGAGCCGGGCCTCTGTCCAAGTTCCCTTGTCTTTTCCCATTTGTCATGAACGGCAGAACCTCATTGTTGTCCATGTTTTCTCTCCCTTGGCTCGTTCCCTCTGTCATGGACAGCGGAATCCCATCGCTGTCCATGTTTTCTTCTTCTTTCTTTCTCCTATGTCATGGATGGCGGAACCCGTCGCCGTCCATGTTTTCTTCTTCTTTCTCTCCCTCTGTCATGGACGGTCTCCTTTTTAATAACTTTTGGAATTTCAAAACAGTTCCTATGTTTCCTTAGAACGTGCATATTTTTCAAGGATGATCCAGGGTCGTTCTGATGTCCGATTGATCGAAAGATGATTGTTTTCTTATAGGGCTAGGCATGGTGATTGATTTGATACCAACTTCGAGCCATGGATCATGTTTTTAGTGCACAATCATTTTACTTAAAAATTGAATGGATATTGAAACTTCAGATAGATAGTGTACTCGTTCCTTGATTTGTTTTGGTGTTTTCTTCACTGGATCACACTGAGCATGCCGTTATGATCGTGAGGCAAAAACACAACTCGAACCCATGCCCGAACGAATGTTTTTGCGAGTTTGGAGTTTTGGTCGGAATCTGGAATTTCGGGTGGCCACACAGGAATAGCGTTTGGCTCCTCCTGTTTCACTCTTTTGCCTATAACATCTTCCTAGAGTGTCTGTTCAAACTAAAATTTGATCCCTAGGGGTTTTCAACTGTGTCGGATCTAATGGTGGGTCCCCACAGTAAATTGAGACATCGCAAATGTAGCTATAGTTATGGGGTTCGTTTC